ATATATATATATATATATATATATACACATACATATATATAACTTCTACTTGATTATATTTCATTGAACATCTTGATATGTAACACATGTCCCACATACTGCGTATGCTGTGGTACCTTGACTGTGCACATATTCTCTTCTAAAAGACATTATTATGAGCAACTGCGAAGGTTTCTTTAGTATCATAATTTTTATCTTTTTTTCCCTCAGATATAGGATTTCTGACTAATTGATTGAGAAAATTATGCATTGCATAACTGCTAGAACTCAAGTAGTAAAGACGTGTGATTGTTTAGCTTACATATTTAAATTCTACTTATGTAGGCTGAGGAAAAGATGAGGGTATTATACGAAAGAAAACATGAGCACCTGAGGCACTTGAGCGAGAGGGGTGCAGAGGCAGAAAAAATTGAGGCAGTGGAAATTTTTATCAGGAAGTTATCTACGAAGATAAGAATAGCCATTCAGGTTGTGGGCACAATTTCTAGTAAAATCAGTCAGCTGAGGGATGAAGAGTTATGGCCACAAGTTAATGAACTTATCCATGGGTATGTAACTGCTTGTGGTATTTCTTTGTTTTAATTGTATTGTAGTGTCTGGGTTTGCACATGTACTCCTGAAAATAAAGTCGCGGCATAACACCTGGATTTTACCTCGGATACGACATGACCCGATATATTGGTAGCTTTCTAAGTATAAAAAAGAGAACTTCAGCATTCATTTCATAAGCTGGTTTCTCAATTATTCTTTTCTTCTCATTGGTAGAGTACTCTTGGTAATTTAAAAGCATTGTCCTAACAGCAAAATTGTTATATACTCTTATGTATATTTGTAGTCTTTTTTCCTTATATGAAAAATCAAATTCTAAGTATAAAATAAGATTTGGCTCTCCATTTTTAATAAGACAAGATAAATAATTGTGAAATGATTTTCATCATGGTTTTTACTCTAAGTTAATCTAGAAAAGCTTTTGTGTGATGTTGTCAAATTTGTACATTGTTGTATGTCTTTTTCTTGAATTGAGCTGATAACAGTTAAACCATTAACATGACATATAAAATAAGTTGATAGCTGCCACCGGCTGTCTACACTGATAGCTGATCTTTATGACTACATTGAATTATAATTTGATACTTATATTGTGGTCAACTTTGTCTTAGTTGATTTGCCATAGGTTTGAAACTATAATCTGTAGTGCTAACCTTTTCCCTCCTTAATTGAATACCTTAGGATGTTGTTGTTTAAACCAAGCTTATTCCATTTTCTTTAATCTCTGTTCTAGAATATGATGGGTTTTATGTGATCAATGATACATTGCAGATTTATGGGGATGTGGCGTGTAATGTCAGAATGCCATCATATTCAGTGTCAAGCAATATCTGAGGCTAAAAATCTAGATTCTATTTTATCTGGAGTAAAGCTTAGTGATGCTTACATGGATGCAGTAAAGCAGTTAGAGTTCAAGTTGGTGGATTGGATCAGTAATTTTTCTGCTTGGGTGGCTGCTCAAAGGAGCTACGTCAAATGCTTGAACGGTTGGCTTATGAAATCTATACATTATGTGCCTGAAATTACAGATGATGGTGTTGTTCCCTTTTCTCCTGGGAGATTAGGTGCACCTCCTGTATTTGTCATTTGTAATTACTGGTCTCATAGTATGGATCTGATATCCGAAAGGGATGTTGTTGATGCTCTCCAGGCTTTTGCTGAAAATGTTTTTAACATCTGGCAAAAGCAAAACTTTGAGCAGCAGCAGAGGTTGTTGGCAAACAGAAATATGGATAGCAAGCTAAAGTTAATGGAAAGGGATGAACAACTAATGCTCAAGCAGAGAAAGAAATTGATGTTAGTTTCCAGTGAGAACAGGATATCGATATCTGAACCTGTGGAGCATCAGGGATCCACTGTCAACAGTTTGCAGTTAAGTCTAAAACAGATCTTTGAAGCTATGGAAAACTTTAGTGCTAATTTCATGAAGTCATACGAGGTACTCCACACACGTTCTGAAGAAGAGAAACAGAGGCGGTTGAGAGAGAAAGCAGGAGTTTCATAGGATTTACATGGATTAGACTTTGCTGAGACTCATGCATTCATGTGAGAACATATTACACCTGATGCTTGGGAAGTGGCTAACTATTTATCATCGTCTTCATTGAGTTGAGCTAAAGCGGCATCCCCGTCGTTATGTCTGTCTCCAGTGGAAGAAATTGGTTCTCATCAATTTGGCTAAAAGCATTTATGGAGAGCCTGGAACAACCATTCAGTGATCTCTTAAGAAAGTCTGGAAATGAGCTTCTGAGGTTGAAAGAAGTGTCATTTGTAGTTGTAAGTGGGATCTAAATCGCTCGGCTTTATCCCTAGCAAGATCTGAGAAGCATGGCATCAATCTTGTGCACTGTGCTGTTGCTACGGAAGGTAGACTGAACTGAGCGGGGAAACACTTACGAAGTCTCCATTCAATGGAAAATGTGGAAGATGAAGTTGAGATGGTACTACGTGGCGCTTAGTTTTGTTTTTTGTGTTGGCATTTTATTATGTCAACAAGACACACGATGTCGATTTCGACACAACAAAATAGTTCAAAGTCGATGCCTGAAGATCTTCATGTTCTCAGTCTTCATGGAAAATGCTGCTCCATGTCTACGTCCGAGGTGGAAACTAGTAACCACCATGGAGTATTACTGTAAATTTGAAGCAGTAAGTGCATATGGGCATTTGCTATCATTGTCGCCCCACCACTCCGCTCCACCCCTGAGCTGCGTTCTCGTTCCTATCATGGTAAGCATAAAGCAATTGCGAACAATGAGCATTTGCAGAGGAATCTGGACAGGTGATGATGATTTCTAGTGTATAAGCTCATTATTTCATTATTTTTGCTGTATAGATGTTATATGCATAGAGAACAGTGTATCCATACCATTTGTGATTCTGTGCTGATCGTGCTGTGGCATACCTCAGACTTGCTTGTTCCACTTGGCTTCACTGGGTAGCATCTGAAACAGGGTTGCCAAGGTTGCATGGAATGTGCCTCTACATGACACCTCGCTGTCTTTTTAACCTAGTTATCTAATGTTCTTATGTTGATACGGTCAAGGCAGTCTGGTTATGATTTGCCGGCCTCACTACGAACGCCACAGCTGTAACTTCTTGAAATCTTTTATATAGTTCATCTTCTAAGTGTCTTATGGCATTTTATGCGTGCATCCAACATTTGAGATTCCGTTTGGTGTGGGATCGTACTGGTTCGATCCGAACTTAAAAAGGCACAGGAGCGTCCGAGAATCTTATGTGGTAGTTCTATGAGCCTTGAAGTAGGTGAGGTGACATTGACGGTAAGCCTGAGATTGGGTCGAGGTCTGGCTCATTGGTGGTGAGTTGAGATTGGATCGAGGTCTGGTTCATCGGCGAGTTCCTGCACAAAGGTCGATGTCGATGTCATAGAGGATCAGCTTAAATTAACTTTAAAAAGATTTATGATGAAAAAAGATTAGTATGGTATTGAGGATCAGCTTCGATCTTAATTTAATGATCTGAATTATATTACTTAAAAATTATATTAATTATTTTTTTTAATTAAATAAGATAACAATTGTACACCGACGAAATCTTTATAATGCAATTCTCTCGATTTGGGTGGTTATAGTAAGCTTAGAAGGGCGATTTCAATAGGCTCACAATGTCGACGACTTTCCACCGAACGGTCTAACTTGCGTTTTACAGTCGGTCAGCGGCGATGGCTCAAAGGAAACTTCCTGCAGATGCGTCAATGGCAATCCTTTTCGCCGCCTCCCATCGAATGGCAATATCTCTTCCCTGTACACCGGACCAAGCAAAGGGATCGCAGCAATGGAGGCCGTCTTGTGCTTGTCCATCGTGACCTCCTTGTCGGGCACGCTCGACCAGCGATGCGGAACCCTCCGAGACGGTCGTTTCGTCCCCGGCAACGGCAGCCTGGCATCCCTCATCACCTCCTCGCTCTTCGACCGGATGCTGAAGCATCGGGACGACGCGGCCTGCCCCGCCAAAGGATTCTACACCTACGACGCCTTCGTAGCCGCGGCGGCCGCGTTTCGCGGGTTCGCCACCACGGGCGACGCCGACACTCGCAAGCGGGAAGTCGCCACTTTCCTGGCACAGACCTCCCACGAAACCACTGGTCTGTGTTTAGGTTTGGTTGGCTGTGACAGCAGCAGCCGTTTGACGCCGGTGTTGTTCTGCACAGGTGGGTGGGCGACAGCACCCGATGGTCCGTTCGCCTGGGGCTACTGTTATCTCCAAGAACAAGGCGATCCAAGCGATTACTGTCCCGAGCTCTCAGTACCCATTCGCTGCCGGCAAGAAGTACTACGGCCGAGGGCCTTTCCAGATCTCCTAGTCAGGAAGCTCTCCCTAACACCGAGAACGAAGAGTCTGCTATCAATTCCAGCAATTCTAGCCCTAACTTGATGCGAATTCTTACGGTAACTACACCTACGGGAGGATAATTATTCAATAATTATCGAATAAACTATAAAACTGTTTTTCTCTATTTATAGGGAGGATTTTTCTCAATAAAATAGAGATATTTTCTTATACATTTAAAAAAATCAATATGGTGCTCCATACCAATTTTGGATCAATGCAATACAAACAGTTTATGAGCGAGAGGCTTTGTGAGTGAGTTGGCTAATTGATCAGTCATATGTACATGAGAAATACGAAGTTGACGACGGACAACTTGATCTCGCACAAAATGGAAGTTGTTAGCAATATGTTTCATGCGGGAGTGAATACCAGATTAGCACACAGATAGGTAGCTCCGACATTATCACAATATATTATAGGAGAGAAACTGATGTTGAGTTCCTTGAGCAAATTTGTGACCCAATTGAGTTCTTCAGTGGTAGTGGCAGTGGCGATGATACGATATTTAGCTTCAGTTGTAGACCGTGCGATTGTCTTTTGCTTCTTAGAACTCCAACTGATTGGATTAGCTCCAAGAAACACAATGTACCATGATGTGGATGTTTGATCATCAACGTTGCATGCCCAATTAGCATAAGCAAAGGCATGAAGATGAAGTAGAGAGTGTTTACGAAGAAAGAGACTATGATTGAGGGTCCCCTTATGATATCGCAGGATTTGTTTGACCGTAGACTAGTGCATAATAGATGACCTCTACATAAACTGTGATAATTTGTTGACTGCAAAGGAGATGTCTGAACGGGTGAGAGCTATGTACTGTAAGGAGCCAACGACTTGTTGGTATCGAGTGGGCTCCATAGTAGGACTGCCATCAGACAATTTGAGAGAGCCACTAGTAGAGAGAGGAGTTGTAACCGCATTTGCATCCTGCATTTTTATTTTTGATAATAAATCTTGAATGTACTTTCTTTGTGAGAGAAAGAGATCGAAAGATGTGAATATAGCTTCTACGCCCAGAAAGTAGTTCAAGGGTCCTAGATCTTTAAGCGAAAATTGATCCTCCAACTGTTTGATGAACGCTTAGATTTCTACAAGGTTGTTGTCTATGATAATAATATCATCCACATATACCAGAATATATTGTGTCACCATGATGTTGTCGGAGAAATAACGAGGTATCAGATTTGGAGTTGAGAAAGCCAACTAAAGTAAAAAAAGAGCCAAGTTCTATGTACCAAGCTCTTGGAGCCTGACGAAGTCCATAAATAGCTTTTCGCAGTTTGCAAACATGCCTTGGATATTGAGGATGAGTGAAACCAGGAGGTTGTTGCATAAAAATAGCTTCGGTTAGAGTCCTCTGTAAAAAGGAATTATTAACATCCAATTATCATAATTGCTAGCCCTTAATGGTGGCCAAACTCGGGATAAGTCAGATTGTAGTCGGCTTAACAACGGGACTAAATGTCTCAATGAAATCAACTCCAGGTCTTTGATGAAACCCTTTAGCGACGAGGAGTGCCTTATATCGGGCAATGGAGCCATTTGGGTTCCGCTTAATTCGAAAGGCCCACTTACACCCGATGATGTTTTATGTATGATGAGAGGGTACTAGATCCCATGTTGAGTTATGGAGGAGGGCATTATATTTCTTACACATGGCGATACGCCAATGCAGAAATTTTTGGACTTGAGTGAAGGTGGTGGGTTCAATTATGGTGGATGATGAATCCATGATAGCATGGAGGTCAAGGACTTGATGTGGTTTGAAAATACCACTCTTAGAGCATGTGGTCATAAGATAGTTTGGGACTATGAGATCGTGAGGTTGTGTTGGTGGAATAAGTGGTTGAGAGTCACTAACACAGGCCGGGTCAGGTGTAGGTACGTCAGTGTCACCTAACTGAGAAGGAGATAAAGATAATGGGTGTGTTTCGGAACTAATTACCCTAACATTTGGAGAAGAAAGAGGTAGAGTAGAAATGGAGGGAATGGGCAATTGCTGAATTGGATGAGTGATATAGTGAGGATCATGAGGGAAGGAATGGGACGATGTCATGGGAGGCTCGTCCGATTGGATCGGAGGTATATTCCAGTGAGGAATGGTTAATGAAGTGGTTCCCATGGTAGGAAAGGTATGGTTTTGGAAAGGAAAGATTAACTCAACAAAAATAATGTGATGTGATATAAAGACTTTGTGAGTGTGGAGATTATAGCAGTAGAAAGCATTATGTTCAAGAGAGTAACCTATAAAAACACAAGGATTAGATCGTGATGTTAACTTATGAGAGGCATAGGGACGTAACCATGGATAACATAGACAACCGAATACTCTGAGTTTACAAAGGTTTGGGGGTTTGTGAAATAATATGTCAAAGGGGGACTGGTAATGTAGGACTAACATAAGCATCCTATTAATAAGATAGACGACAGTTTGAAAGGCTGATGTCCAAAAGTTGAAAGGCACAGAGGCCTGATGTAGAAGTGTAAGCCCAGTTTCTACTATATGTCGATGTTTGCATTCGGCGGAGCCAACAATTTGAGGAGTATGCGGGGGAGACTTGAGGTGTTGAATACCACAAGCGGAGAGATAAGATGCCATAGCTTGATATTCGCCGCCACCATCAGAGTAAACCATTTTGATTGTAGACTGAAAGTGGTTTTCGACCAACTTTCGAAAGGTGGGAAAGATGATAGACATGTCAGATTTATGGTGAAGAGGATATAACCATGTGTACTTAATAAAATAATATACAAAAATAACATAAAATCTGAATTTATTAAAAGACAAGATTGGATTAGGGCCCAAATATCTGTACAAATAATTTCAAATGGTTTAGAGGAGGAAATGAAAGATGAACCAAAGGGCTGTCGATGACTTTTATTACTAAGACATTCATCACAATGCATTATAGAACTATATGATTTAAAAATAGGAAGAGAGTAACGAGAAAGTAATTTCTGCTAAATAAAGGATGAGGGATGACCAAGACGACGATGCCACACATCAACTAGAGTCACAACGGAAGAATGAACAGTGGGTTGGGTTATTTGTGGAGCTGACGATTATTCGTAAATGTTGCCTCTATTCGGGCCTTGGACCAAGGATGCCCCCATGCTCAACTCCTTAACAAGAAAGGAATCAGGAAAGAATTCAATTGAAATATTATTATGTTTACAAAATTGAGAAACAGAAATGAGGTTGCGTTTAATATGAGGGGTGCATAAATCATCAAGTGTAAATGTGATATTATCATAAGTAAGCGTTGTGGAACCAGTATGAGTTATAGGAAGTCCTTTACCGTCACCGATGATGATATCTTCATCGCCACTATAGGTGTTGTGAAGAGACAAATTCTAAAGATCAGTGGTAATGTGATGTGAGGTGCCAGAGTCGACAATCCAGTTGGGCTGGCTAGTCGTCAGAGTAGTTAGAAGATTTATTTGAGGCCAGTGTGACGGAGCAAGGAGGCAGGGTTGAGACTGACAAACTTTAGCTGAGTGTCCGACTTTATCACACAGTTGGTAGATGACCCGTCTTTGTTAGCTTGCTGGGGCAGGATACCAAGATGGACGATTATTGGAGTTGCCAGTTTGTAAGAAGTTATGATTAAGAGGATAAGGGGGGTTTCGCATGGGATCCATAGGATCAAGATGTGTATGAGTCAAACCTTTGGAGATGTTCAGAGGGTACCAAGTGCCATTCCTCTTAGACATGTGACTGACTTGAGCTGTGATAGTTGGTCCGAGTAGCTTGTCCTCACGCTTC